GACAGCCGAAGCACGCCAGGCCTTCCTCTCCCGAGTCTCGGCATGGCGGCAGCTATCCGCGATGTACCTGACTCCCCTCATTGAAGCTGCCGCGCTCGCCGCGGGCGATGGGGATCACCCCCTACCGCGCGAGGACCCGCCCGATGACGACGCCGACGTCGAGGAGGTTAGGGGGCCGACGAAAGCCGGCGCGAAGCGACGCGCGAAGGCCAAGGCCAAGCCCGCACCGCCGTCGGCGCTCGCGACGAAAGGGCCGATGTGGCACGAGATCAACGAGATCGCCATCGACCTTCCGTCGAGTCGTGGGCCAAAGACGATCGCACAGACAGTCCTTCGACGGGCGGCTGAAGTCGAGCTGGAGCTCCGACAAGGTGAAGCAAACGACGCGTTGGATGAGTTGCGCACCCAGATCATCACAAACTATGCGACTCAGCGGCTGAAGAGAAACGTCAAGGGCATCAAGAACAACACCCGCGCGAACCGCACTCTCCAGCACCAGCGCAACGTTGTGAATCAGGCCGCCGATCGCTACCGTCGCGCGCGGAGCTGCATGATCGCGCTCGGCATGAACAAGGACGACCCGACGTACCGCGTCCTGACAGCGAAAGACAAGACGGCGTTCAAGGTGTACAGCGAGGACGACCAGATCGGAGACAGCAAGAAAGCGTCATCTTGGATCTGGGCGAAGTTCGGCTTCGTCGACAAGATGGATGACGGCCCCGCGAAGCAAGCTTGTGCGACGGGTAAGTGGGTGACGCTGTGCGAAGTCTGCTATCACTCACCCCGATAATCGACTAGCACGCAAGGTGCGCTGGTTCAGACAGCACGCGTCGGTCATGCGATGGCACGAGGAGATCCTCATCCTCGAGGCCGAGATGGCGCGCATCGCGCGGTACTTCAAGTTCTTCGAGAACCTCTGGGAAGACACAGCGTCTGCACGTGAAAAAGCAGGAGAGGCGGGTCAAGCAGCCTACGCAAGGCGGTGAGCATCCTGAGTTCTTGAGAGCGCATTCTTGGCCTGAGTACGGGACCAGACAGGCGCATCGGCATCGCAGACTTCTTGCTGAAAGCCTAAAGCGATTCACACCTATCATAGGCCCCCTCGACTTGTGAGACAATGGCGAGACGTCGCTCTACGGAGAACTTGTTCTTTCTTTTTAGTTCCTTTTATAAATATAGTGTCACCATCACTGCCTCACATGCAGTCATAGTTGCGTACCTCGCATGGGAACGTTCCAATTCTGACGCTAGCGAAATGGACCGCTCTGCTCTGGCCGTGCGAATGACGTTCGCTACTATTTCATCGACCCGCGACAGCGCTGAGGACCGCTGGGCGCTGCCGTATCCACGACTTGCATGAGCGAGTCTTGCTTATGGGCCGGGTGCTGGAGGCTACGATCTCTTCCAGAACGTATCGGCGGCGGTATGTCTGTAGTCGTGAATGTGGATGATCTAACATGGAATATTGTCCAGGGTCTGGCAGAGTCTACGTCCAGACGGTCTACACAACAGGAAAAGTGATGTCTCGACAGGCTTACTGGTAGCAATAGGCGGCTGGTGATCAGGGGAGGTTTACGTGGCTCCCAAACGCTACAGGTATGTTCGTCTGTTTCGGTTGAAGAGATCTCATTGACTGACTGAGTTTCTCGCCCGCGTTTCTGTTCGGAAGGCACCGCAGGCGCATCGCAAGCGAGCGCTATCCGTGAGGACCTTGCGCACGACGACCGAAGATCGCAGGCAACTTAGGTTATCGGGCAACGAGTCTGCGACAATGGGGATTAGTACATGATATAATGCGATGCGGAGAACGTAAGGCTACGTGCTCACCAGGATTTTGAAGAAGCGATGTTGACTCGACCCCTGACAGGAATGAGCTGGGACAATCGACAACGAGACGTCGCGACCCCTGGGATGTGGTCATGCGGGTGCCCCAGAATGTTGAGCGAGTTTCCAGACTCGACGCGTCGGCGCTACAGAGGCGTGACTCCCTGGCTGTGCCGCTTTCTCCAGAGCGACGGCAACGCCACGCTTCTCCCTCACCCGTGGTCCCGCCGATTCCACAAATCATGCTTCCAATGAAGCTATTGCTGTGGGTTGTGCTCGCGATACGCGTCATCATTCTGCAAGACATAGTCGTGTAAGTGAATTGGCAGTGCATAGCTCCGAGATTTCTCATAGGATCACGAGAAAACAGGCAGAAATACGCCCTGCGTGCAGGCGAAAACTCTGGCGAGTCAAGACACTGCGATCGCGCCACGCAAAACAACGTGTTAAAGAAGACGGCGGCGCAGCAAAGACGACCGTGACGGACGCGCTGAGAGATGGCGCAGCGAATGAGATGAGCGGTGACGCGGCAAGGGGAGACTCGTGGGCCGCAGATGGGCCGGGGAATCAGTGGTGAGCGCTGTTTTCTTTCTTCACCACATAGACTGACTATCTTTTGGCGTCTCCAAGTGGTTAATAGGCGGCGGAGATCGATTGGACGGGACGGGGACGTCGAGGAACGACGTATCGGGTGAGTTGCCATTCAGCAACTATCGAGTGGCCGTCTGATTGAAGGATGTCGGGCAGTTTCATCCCTATTTCTTGAAAGATGTACATGCTTGGAAGACGGACAATCTGATATGCCCTCCTCTCGAGGTTTTGCGTACCGTTCGTGCTTCATCCGCGGGTTGGCACGCCTCCTGCGCAAGAACGCTCTAGTGCGGTCCGCTTCCCGCTACGTCGAACCCCTTTGCTCTGCTCTACACTTCTGTCACGTTCACTGGCGTCAGTTGATCCTGCGAGTGTGCGCTCAAGGCGCGTCAAGGTACAACAGCTCACAATCAGACCGCCTCTCTATCTGCAGCGAGGCTCCGTCATTACCTGATTGGCGATGCGAAGGACGGTTCCAAAAGACAGACCAGAGGGCATCAGAAGAAGTGTCAAGCGTCCACGGAGAGGTTGGCTCCGGATGCCGCGTCATGGCCTGGTGAGTGCTTTATCTGTATCAAACCACGTTCAACACTCAATCACACGACCCGAAGATGTCAGAGGTACTTTTTCAGGTTGATTACCGCGAAAATCTATCTAATGTAGTGGTAATCTCTCGTTATAGAGCAACGGGTGCATCCCGCTTGTACCTGAGGTACTAGGACTCGCGGGGGATGGATCCATCGAAAACTGGGGTGCGGGCCTCGGCGAAATGCAGGAAGACATCAGTATGTACCTCCGCTCGGATATATCCCACCCCTTGGATCCATCCATGCACGTATATATCAGATGGATCGCGCACGTCGTGTCAGGATAGGGCGGAGCGAGCGCACTTAGCCGTGTCCCCTCACTGTAAATCAACAGCTTCGTAGCGCAGTGGACTAGCGTTGGTGTTATCGCCCACCGCACTTGGGTTCGAATCCCGGCGAAGGCGGTTTGTTTTGGTGCTCGGATGGATCACGTCGGTCGGATGGATCGCAGTCGGTCGGATGGATCGGTGCGGCGTAGGGCCCACAAGGGCCAGTAGACCATCACGTCCGATCCATCCGAGCGCTGATGGATCATCAATAGGATCCATCAAAGGTACGTAAGTCCCTCATGTACAGGGGTAGACTCACACGCGCAGCGTCTCG